CGATGGCTAGCAGGGGCGGGAGGCGAGGCCTGGGGCTCGGCTGCGGAACCCAAACCCCACTGCCTACTGCCAGGAGGAGCTGGCTTGAAGAAACTGGAAGATCAGTGGGAGTTTACTCGGTGGCTTTTGGCATTTGAACTTATGTTTTATTTGAGATTCTAGGGGAACATGTGCACGTTTGTCACATGGGTATATTGTGTGAGGGTGAGGTTTGGGCTTCTACTGAGCCTGCCACCCAAGTGGTGAACATGGCACCAGAGGGGTGACGGGTGGTTTGTCAACCCTTATCCTCCTCCCTCTCTCTCCCCTTTAGGAGTCCCCAGTGTCAGTTGTTCCCATTCTTATGGCCTTTGGCATTTTATAAAAGTCCGTCTACAAGACGAGATACAGCACGGAGAAACTGCTGTGTAGTTCGTCAAAAAGATCTTGGAAGACCCTGTCTCAGGATTTCTCTCCCCCCCCCCCCCAGAAAAATTGTATCCCAGTCTCTCAACTTTAGCGAGTTGGTATGCACCGCGCCACAGTCCACTGAATAGTATCTTCCTTCAGACAGGGATTGGGAAGCGGAAATACCACCACCCTCCAGCCAAACCGTTGTGAGGACTGATTGCAGGGGAGCTGGGGCTCCAGATGTTGCACTAGAGGCGCCGGGAGTGTGAGCAGGTAACGTGGAGAAGAGTGACATTGTTAACAGAAAGCATCTAATTAACAATGACTTCATTTGATTGGAAGGATGAAAAAAGCCTTTTTAAATCAATCCAGATTCACTGGCCTAAGCTCAGCCAATTTATGAATATGGAGCCTGACTGGGGTCTGCTTTCTTTCAAAGATGTCATCTTAGAGGTAATAGCATAGGTGAAGTCATTTGGTTACACTGTGGAAACTTTTATAGTGCCTTCCTTGGGAATTTAATTCAGTGCTTCTTCATTTTATTAGGAACAGACTGACTCCGTCAACTGCGCTCTCCCTGTTTAGAGGCAGGACTGCTTGAAGCAATTAGGTTCACCAATTAGCATAGTTTTACTGACCTCCCCAACAGCACCACCACTACTCCTTGGATTATCCATTTCTTCAAAGTCAGGGAAAGCTGCAGCAAAACATGCTTCCCAGGTGTCCAGGTTGGGGCAATAGCCCACAAGCAGGGTAGCACAGCAGTAGAGAAAGCTTTCTAACAGTCCCCAAGTGTTTGTTTCAGCAGCTTCAGTGGATTTTTCACCCCTTTTCTGATTCTGAATCCCAATATACCTACTTTGACATGGCCTTTAAAGTTCTCTCCTTTGGTTGTATTTTGGCAGAATTGCTTTTAAGAAAGTGAGTTTTTTCCCTTTTCTCCTGTCCTCCTGTATGCTAATGGTGCTGTGGAAAATTTTAGGGTCCAGAGAGAGGAAATCGCTGATGGGCTCCTTGAAACTCTGTTAGGTGACAAGGTAAGGGCTCAGGTGTGTGTGTGTGTGTGTGTGTGTGTGTGTGTGTGTGTGTGTATGTCCGTGTGTCCACATGCATGGACCTCAAGAACCTATCAGGAGAGGTCAGGGTGAATTTGGGGAGCTAAATCATTCATTGCTTTTTTTAATTTTGAAGGTGTACCTGCAAGACTGTGGTCCAGCCTTTTCACTGTAAGCTCAGTCAGCTGGTGGCCAACATCTTTAGTAAAAGAAAACCCCAAAGTAGTCTGGGAAGGAAGGGTTGGCTCTTGTCACTGGCTGGGGTAGTGAAGGGATTACATTTACGTGGCTATTGTTATGCTCTTCCCTAAAATACACATTTCCCTGTAAGATTTCACTAGATTAAATTGCTGACACTTCATCAGTAGCAGCAACAATGTAATTCTCCTAACCTTATTAAATCAATAAATAGTAGATCCATGCATTGAATTAAAAATGCATCAGCATGGCCAGGAATTGTGATCATGTGGTCATGGACCTCAGAATCGAAGATGTCACTCAAAAATAGACTAGTTAGCATTTATTTAATCTTCTTTTTCTGTTTTGTTTCTGTGACTGGGTGGTCTGGAGTTTTAACATTTCAGGGATTATTGTGACAGGTTTTTTTGTTTGCTTGTTTATTTCTTAAAATTCTTTTCTTTTGCTAATTCATCACACTTAACCATGAAAATGATGATACATTGAACAACACTGTGACTTTATAGTTCTTGCTATCACTTTTTATCTAGGGAATATTCTACTTAGAATGTATTACTCTAGTAAGACATACTCAGGTGCATAACTTTCTAAATAAGCATAAGTTAAATTTAGATGCATAGGCTTTTGTATAAGTAAATATATCTAGCATGAATGTACTGCCGTACATTGCTTGCAACTGTTTATTTTTAATTTATCCTTTATCATTTAATTTATCTTCCAGCACTGCCAAATACATTATAAACCAAAGAATCATAATTTTAAAGTGTTATTTTGATTTATAATCTGGTTTGCTTGTTGGAATTTGCACAGAGGCAAAATTAAAATTTTCAAGTCTTTAAACTTAACACAGCACTTAGGAAGTTATATATAAATTAAATAGTTATATTGTATGTGTGAAGAAATACCTTAAATGTGGTTTAGTAGAAATTTGCCAATTAAGTTGTGGATTAGAGGGTAAATTTACAGTTAGTTTCTACTCAAAACGGAAATGTGCATAACACTTGGAAGTTGGATGGAAAAGTAATATTTACTTTAGCCAGATATTTGATCATACTGATTAATGATGCTAATTATTTAAAAACATTCATTCCCTATTGATGTCAGACAGTGTATATGGTCCTGAATTCTGAAGATATAGTCATTGGCTCTTGGGTTCACCACACTGTGGAAGAAAAATCTTTATTTGACGAAATAGGCAATCAACTGAAATCTATCCTCTTTAAATAAACTGATTCCTCAGTATTTTCCCAGTGTTGGTGTAAGTTGTTGTCTGTGATGTCCCCCAGGGCTTTTCCTCTGCTCTCTGATTTGGTATATAAAAGCAGCTCTGAATGATGGATTACTGTGTCATTGCAGCCTGCAAAGGATTAATTTGTTTCATTGATTTCTCTTTAGGCAGATTGCCAGAATTTGCTGCTTCCCACCTTTCCTCAAGACTTCTAGAAGTAATAGACAGTAATAGCCTAAGACAAATCAGCTCCTTCTTGTAAAAATAGAATCAGGAGACTAAGAGTCCTAGGAAAGCTATGGCAAACTTTTTTATTGGCATAGTGGGAGAACAATTAATAGGCTACTTTATTTGCTTTAGAAATACTTTTGATTGAAAATTTCCTTGATTTGGTGACATATTACCCATCATATTAATTGGTCTTAAGTAAACATTTATAATGTTTGTTCCATAAACATTTCCCCTAATTTGTAAGGATACTGTTTAACTCAGGGGAAAAAAAATATTGCCTTTGTGATTGACAAATACTTTTCATGCCAGATTTCAGGATAAAATAACATGTCAGCATAACTTTAAATCAATTTAGCTGTAAGTATGTATAGGATTGTTTGACCCACATAATTTTTGGGAACTTTGAACAAGGACCGAGATTATCAGAGCATAGAAATATAATTGTTTAAAGAAAACATAACTTTTTCTCATAAGGAAAGCAGTATCTGTTCATAAGAGAGAATTTGCAAAAATTTTGTATATTTTCTCTAAGCCTTTTTCCTCTGTGTTTAGTGTAATATGATTAAAATAATACTTATTAAAGTAATACATAGACTGCATAATGTTTTATATACTTTAATCATTGTTCTGTTATTGGAGAAGTTAGATTTTAATTTTCCATGAATTGTTATTGGTTATGGTTTTCTTTACAATATATTATTAAAAAGAAGTTACTTGGACTGAAGGTAGAGACTGTTTCTTAAGGTTCTTGTTATTGATTGCCAAATTGTTTTCCAGAAAGGTTGTACTATTTTATACTGGACTTAAACATTTTTTCTTTGTAGAGGCAACATTTTAATTCATGTTACATGAGCAAAGAAAACAGAACACTTTTTTCCTTGTGTTCTGAAAGAAGGGGTAACATTTTGCATATACTTAATCGCTCATAAGTATTTTCCCAACTGCAGATGTGAAATAGGCTGGTTATACAAATCTATTTGTTTCCCTTATGTAGTGCTGAAAATTATATTGATTTAATGGTCTCAAGTTATACTTTTTATGCAATTAGTTGTGTAGTAAAAACTAATATTGTCATGTGCTAATGTCTTTTTTCCCTCTATTGTGCTATGGTAGTAGTCAATGCAATATCAGCAAGTTTGCTTTTCCTGTGCTTTGCTGAAAGGAAAAAGGAACATCTGTTTCCATTATATATCTGCATCATAATGATAACAGTTAAATAGCTATTATGGTAGTATACAGTAAATATATTTTGCTGAATGACCTATACTTTTTAGTTGGGATATTCCAGAGGTTTTGAAGATACTTAGTTTTCACAGGTAGATTCTATGTGGATGTTTAGATAGGCCTTTTCTTAGTTAAGGTGTAAATTATTGCAGAACTTATTTGTTTCAGTTAAAATCAATCTAACTTGACGATTAAACACTAGGCTTTTAGATATGAGTCCTGAATATAGCAATATTAGAAGACTGTATGTCCTCTTAGCCATGTGTTTAGAGTATGTATTAAGTATCTCTGTCAATATTCTTAAATTAGTTTATCATGCTATTAATAATACAGTTCATTTTGGGGTTTGTGCCATTTGTGTACTTTCATATTTTACTATGTTGGAAGATCAGAAATAGTTATATATTTATTTGCAGCATATTTCATGTTTTCCCCCTTATATTAGGGGGACATAGTGATATTTACCTTTTAAACTCAGCAGGAGAATGTTTGAGACCACACACAACTATTTCCATTGACCTTTAAAGTCCCGGAGAAATGTTTTAATTTATTTTAGCTTTTGGTTAAAGGTGTTTTGTGGTTACATTAAAAAAAAGATTAGAAGGTACCTCAGACAAAATGGAATATAAAGAAAAATAAACACCCATGGACCCTAAACCTAGTTTGAGAAATAAAATGTTGTTAGTACAATGGAAGCCCTTCCAGAATATATTTCTTTATGACTTCTTGAAGAGGTAATTATCATCCTAAATATGGCAATTATCACCCTTTTTGTCACTTAGGTACTTTTTACATGGTCTGAAAATTTGACATAAATGACTTGTCTTCTTAAGTAAATAAATTTTAACATGTTGGAGCTGTGACTGCTGTTAGAACTCGTAGTCTAGTCTTATGGCTGGGCACCTTCCTCTCCGTGTCCTCATCTGTGAGGTTGGAGTAAGGCTGGCTACGTGATCTCTGGTATCTTTCTGCCTGTAATTAAAAAAAAATTTGTGATTACCTCTTGTTTACTTTTTATACAATTAGTTGTGTAGTAAAACATATTGTTTAACGTGTTTTCCATATGAAACAAACAAAAGGCAGAGTACCAGAGAGGCTAAGTAACTTGCCTAAGACCATGTAGTAAGTCACAGAGCAAGGAATAAATCTCATTTCTCCTGATTTCCATTCAGGCACTCTTTTCTTCACTCCACATTACCTGTCATTTTTATGATTACTCTTAAGATGAGTGAGAGTTGGCAAGGGAGGGAGGAGAGAGAGGAAGGGGCAGGAGAGGGAAGAGAGGAGGGAGGAGAGAAAGAGAATCTTTTCCTCCCTCAAATACCTTTTCCATAGGG